CCCCCCTGCCTGGTCGTCCGGCTCAGCGTGCGCTGGCCTAGAGCCGTTACCTGCGCGGCTCAGCGGCCCCCGAGGCCGGGCTCAGAGACCACTGCGCTCCGCCCTTCCGCCGCCCCTTTTCCTGCCTGGCTGCTCCTGCAAAGGGCCGTGCTGCAGCTCTCGCTGAGCCACCCGGCTGGGCTTCACGACAAGGGGAGGGGTCCCCTGCATTGCTGGCCCACGTGGGCCCGCGAGCCCCGGGCAGGTTCTTGCTGAGATGTCGCGAGCGCCGGGCCTGCTGCCAGGCCAAGGCTCCAGGCAACACAAGGGGTTGGAACAAGGGTCGCAAGGCCCCCGGAACTCATCCCGGGAGGGGCAGCCTGGAGCGCCGTCTGGAGGTCCTGCAGTCCAGAAGTATGATTTAATGGGATAACAGAGACGTGGAGGGATGACTCGCAGGACTGGAGCGCTGTCATGGAAGGGTACAGACTGTTCAGGAACAACAGGCAGGGGAGAAAAGGAGGAGGAGTTGCACTATATGTAAGAGAGCACTACGATTGCCCTGAACTCCAGTATAAAGAGGGAGAAAAACCTGTTGAGAGTCTATGGGTCAGGTTTAAAGGAGCAAACAGCAGTGATGTTGTGGTTGGTGTCTGCTACAGGCCACTGAATCAGGTGGATGAGGTAGACGAGGCTTTCTTCGGACAACTGAGAGAAGCTTCCAGATCGCAGGCCGAACTAGGTAGTTCGAACTAGCGGGGTAGTGTAGACATGCCCTAAGGGAACTTTGCGAACAGGGGCAGCTAACAGGGAATTTGGGGAGGTAGTTCTCCAGGTGAAGGAGGAGTGATTACGGTACCCTGGCGGTAAGTGGCTGTCTGTAGTGTGTGTCTGTGTCTGTTTGTACATGTGTTACTTGTTGGTTGCCTGAAAGAAACTGTGTGCTGAGCTAGTATCTGTCTGTCTGTCTGCTTGTTTGTCTGTTTGGAGTTTAGAAGGGGAGTTGGAAGGGGGTGAGGTACACTTGCCATTCTTTAAAACTTAAACTAAACTAAAACCAAAACTTCTTGATTTAAATAAAAACCCTGCCAATAACCTAATTCACTGTAGGAGAGAATGCAGGCAGACGCCCAGCAGCAGAGTGGGGGCTATCCTGTTTATTGCGCCCAATGTAGCATGTATGATTACCTGCCCTGTGGGCGGGTGGCGTAGGTGTGCACTTGGTGCAAGGAGCTCCTGGCCCTCAGAGATTGCGTACGGGCTTTGGAGGCCAGGGTGGCTGAACTGGAGGAGGCAGAGAGGTACGTAAATAAGGCTTTCCGGGACACCGTAGAACTGTCCCACCTCCGGTCAGACAGCCCCTGTGCTAAGGAGGATGAAAGGCTCAGGGAAGAAGAACATTCAACCGGAGCAGAGGGAAACCTTCCCATTGTTGGGACCCTCCTTCCAGAGGATGTTATTGTCTCCTCTCACAATGAGGATACATCTCCGGGGGAGGGAACTCCAGTCGTTAGGAAAAGGCAGGTGTTAGTAATGAGGATTCGATCATTAGAGACATAGATATCTGGGTTTGTGTTAACCAGGAGCAGGGGCAGATGACTGTTTTGCAGGGCCCCGGGCAGCATAATTTCGCGGGGCCCCCCTTTGCCACGGCGCATGCACGGGGCTTTTTGAAGCGCGGGGCCCGGGGCGGCCGCCCCGTTCGCCCTGCCCTATATCCGCCCCTGACTGGGAGAACCATATGGTGACTTGTCTGCCTAGTGCAAAGGTTGTGGATCTCTCGAGACATCTAGATAGACTTATGTGTAGTGCTGGGAGGAGACGGTGGTTGTGGGTACCATGTAGGTACATGTAGGTACCAATGACTTAGGGAAGGGTATCAGAGAGGTTCTGGAGGCCAAATTTAGGCTGCTAGGAAAGAGACTGAAATCCAGGACCTCTATGGTAGCATTCTCTGAAATGCTTCCAGTTCCACGCGCAGGGCCAGGTAGGAGGGCAGAGCTTCAGAATCTCAATGCATGGATGAGACAACTCTGTAGAGAGGAGGGGTTTAGATTTATTAGGAACTGGGGAAACTTTTGGGTTGGGGGAGCCTATACAGGAAGGATGGGCTCCACCTAAACCAAAATGGAACCAGACTGCTGGTACTTAACATTAAAAAGGTTGTAGAGCTGTTCTGTTCACTCCCTCTGGGGCACCTGGCGTTGGCCATTGTCAGAAGCCAGGATACTGGGCTAGATGGACCTTTGGTCTCACCCAGTATGGCCGTTTTTATGTTCTTAGTAAGCCATCCTTCAGCTCGACATTATGTCGAAATAACTGTTTGAGTGTAGACACGGACTGTGTTATTTCGCTGCTGCATGGACATAGCCCCTGAGACACACACGTGTGTGCACACCACACCCCGTGATGTTCGTATGCACATGGGAACATATTTTCAGAAACGCTTACGGAGCAGCTTTTTTAACAGTTCCTCCCATGAAATTAGGGGCAGGTTTTCCAAGCTTAACTCCTGTTCAAATACAAAACAATGGAGTTAATATTCGCAGACCTTCAGCACCTAACATCTGGAGCGTTGTATCACATCTGGAGCATTGCGTCACATCTAGAGTGTTGCGTCCATTTCTGGGGCCCCTACTACAGAAAGGATGTGGACGCAGGGGAAAGGGTCCAGCGGAGGGCAACCAAAATGACTGGGGGGGCTGGAGCATGTGACTTATGAGGAGAGGCTGAGGGATTTGGACTTATTCAGTCTCCAGAAGAGAAGAGCGAGGGGGATTGGAGAGCAGCCTTCAACTACCTCTTGGGGGTTCCAAAGAGGATGGAGAGAGGCTGTTCTCAGTGGGGGCAGGCGGCAGAACAAGGAGCAATGGTCTCAAGTTGTGATGGGAGAGGTCCAGGTTGGATATTAGGAAAAACGATTTCCCTAGGAGAGTGGTGAAGCACGGGGCTGGGTTCCCTAGGGAAGTAGTGGAGTCTCCATCCCTAGGGGTGTTTAAGTCCTGGCTTGACAAAGCCCTGGCCGGGTTGATTTAGTTGGGGTTGGTCCTGCTTTGGGCAGGGGGCTGGACTTGACGGCCTTCTAAGGTCTCTTCCAGCTCTGTGGGTCTATGATTGAGGCCCTGGGGCTCCACTCTCATAGGACAGAGCCCTGGGTGCTGGGGACCCTCCCATTGCGGAGCAAGGCTGCAGTCACCCGGGCAAGCCAGCAGCGCCTGCCCTAGCCGGAGGAGGAAGCGCCGCAGACGGTGCTGCACGTCCGAGGGCTGAGTGCTCAGGGTCAGGGGCGCGGTGCGCAGCGGCTGAGTGATCCCCGCGCACCGAGAGGGCTCACCTGCACCGGTGCTGAGTTTAGGGGCTTTAATCACAGAGAAACTAACCGTTCACACACCCGCAAAGCTGGTTTGCACCTGGGTTTGGATTCCCGCTCCCCTCCCCCCCGGACTGATACAGGACTTCCCGACCCAGTTCAGTCTGAGGAGACGGACCCGGTGCGCAGCGGCTGAGTGATCCCCGCGCACCGAGAGGGCTCACCTGCACCGGTGCTGAGTTTAGGGGCTTTAATCACAGAGAAACTAACCGTTCACACACCCGCAAAGCTGGTTTGCACCTGGGTTTGGATTCCCGCTCCCCTCCCCCCCGGACTGATACAGGACTTCCCGACCCAGTTCAGTCTGAGGAGACGGACCTACGCAGAACTACAAACTGTCCCTCTGGCGGCGCTAAGGACCCGCCCCCAGGGACCACGCCAGACTGCGCACGCCGAAGAGCCCGGAAGCACGTGGGCGCGTCCAAACGGCTGGTAACCGAGGGGGGCAGCAAGAAAGCATTTAACTCCCCAGAACGGGTCACGGGCTGCCCGCCGCAGCCTTGGCGCTGCGGTACCATCCCTGGGCAGGGCGCAGTTCTCAGTAACGAAAGCCGAGCGCTGGGCTGGTTGGGCCTTGAGCAGCCTGACCCCTGCCAGGGTCAACCCGGCAGAGCGACAGCCAGAGGGCCGGGCGCAGGGACCAGCCTGAGGCCGGCGTGCAGCACTGTCAGAGGGCGAGCACAGAGACCGTGTTGCTCACGTCCAGCCTGGACAACTAGAGAGCTGTGCGCCAGCACACCAGGAATCGCTGGCGCTCCCAGGGCCCAGCGCACACTGACGGGGCTGAACGCCGCAGGCTAACGCCGGGGCCTCTGGATAACAGAGGGCCGGGCGCAGGGACCAGCCTGAGGCCGGCGTGCAGCACTGTCAGAGGGCGAGCACAGAGACCGTGTTGCTCACGTCCAGCCTGGACAACTAGAGAGCTGTGCGCCAGCACACCAGGAATCGCTGGCGCTCCCAGGGCCCAGCGCACACTGACGGGGCTGAACGCCGCAGGCTAACGCCGGGGCCTCTGGATAACACACTCACAGACTGGCAAAGGGTTCTCCGAGCCTCCCCCACGGGGCTCTGAAAGGCCCTGAAGGCGCGAAAGCGGAGGAGAGCCCGGCGCTCAGCTGGCGACCGGGGGACTGGCCTGGCGAGCTCCCTGCCACCCCAATTGGCTCTTTCCCAACTATGGGAGGGGCCGTGCCGGCAGCTCAGACGGAGACGGACGGGCCCCTGTGTCACCCCTCGCTCTCCCGTACAACCCTGCCCCGAGCCGC